GGTTCAAGCAATTCTCCTGCCTCAGCCTCCTGAGTAGCTAGGATTACAGGCGCCCACCACCACACCCGGCTAATATTTTGCATTTTTAGTACAGATGGAGTTTCACTATGTTGGCCAGGTTCCAACTCCTGGCCTCAAGTGATCTGCCCGCCTCAGCCTCCCAAAGTGCTGGGATTACAGGCGTGAGCCACCATGCCTAGCCTATTTCCTTGTTTTATAGCTGTCCTTACACCAGCACCAGAAGTTACTTTTTTTTGAGACAGAGTCTCACTCTGTCACCCAGGCTGGAGGGCAGTGGCACAATCTCTGCTCACTGTAAGCTCTGCCTCCTGGGTTCACGCCATTCTCCTGCCTCGGCCTCCCGAGTAGCTGGGACTACAGGCACCCGCCACCATGCCCAGATAATTTTTTTGATTTTTAGTAGAGATGGGGTTTTACCGTGTTACCCAGGATGGTCTCAATCTCCTGACCTTGTGATCCGCCCGCCTCGGCCTCCCAAAGTGCTGGGATTACAGGTGTGAGCCACCATGCCCAGCCCAGAAGTTACATTTTAATCAAGGCTGCTTTCTTTCCTTCCCCAGGAGGAGCTCCTGGTTGACAGTTCCGTTGTTCACAATTTAGTCTTGGAAGAAGGATAAGGTTAGAGAAAGGAAGGGAGGTAGCCAGTTCTTTATGTCTGTATTTTCTTAGGCTGTTCTCATTTCTCCAAGAGTGGGACCCCACACCATAGAGGACATGTTAGTGACACCCTCCAGGTTCATTCATTTATTCATTTTCAGTGCATGGTGATACATTGCAGCTTGTCTGTGCCTAACTAAGTGGTTATATAGATTACACTAACTGGATTCCAATAAACTAAATTTGCTGACATTTTCTGTGAAGGCCAGAAGCTGTCAGTAGTATCAAAACATGCCTGCGTGCGGGTGCATACACACATAATGTGACCTTTAAAATAAAGGTGTTATTTAACAATGATTGAGAGAATGACAAACTCCTTTCCTAAAAAAACAAGTTATGGAGAGGGCATTTGGAAAACAGATCTTTCAAAAATATTTCATAGTTATGTGGCTTTTTTGTAAAGACAAGTATGTATTTATAAAAACTCATAGCTGCGGCCTGGCGTGGTGGCTCACGCCTGTAATCCCAGCATTTTGGAAGGCCGAGGCGGGCGGATCATGAGATCAGGAGATCGGGACCATCCTGACTAACACGTGAAACCCCGTCTCTACTAAAAATATATTAAAAAAAATTATCCAGGCGTGGTGGCGGGTGCCTGTAGTCCCAGCTACTCGGGAGGCTGAGGCAGGAGAATGGCCTGAACCCGGGAGGTGGAGCTTGCGGTGAGCCGAGATCACGCCACTGCACTCCAGCCTGGGCGACACAGCGAGACTCCGTCTCAAAAAAGGAAACAAACAAACAAACAAAAAAACTCACAGCCATATATTTTTAAAACTTGGAAATCAAAATTTCTAACCCATTTAGGTTTAAAAGGAAATGTTTCAGTGGATTTTGTACTCATTTGTTAGTTTAGAAAAACAACTGGTTCCCATCAGGAAAAATGGAAAGATGCTAACAGCATTACAAGAGCAGCAGCACCCTTGCATAATTAGTGAACAGGGTGGAAAATTAATATCATAGGCTAGGCGCAGGGGCTCATGCCTGTAATCCCAACACTTTGGGAAGCGAAGGCAAGTGGATCACCTGAGGCCAGGAATTCAAGACAAGCCTGGCCAACATGATGAAACCCAGTGTCTACTAAAAATACAAAAAATTAGCGGGCTGTGTTGGTGGGCGTCTATAATCCCAGCTACTCGGGAGGCTGAAGCAGGAGAATCGCTTGAACCCCAGGGGCAGAGGTTGCAGTGAGTCGAGATCGCACCACTGTACTCCAGCCTGGGCGACAGATGGAGACTCCGTCTCAAAAAAAAAAAAGAAAAAGAAAAAGTAAGCAGACCCAATGACAACTTCATCCATTTGTGTTTATGTACTCTTTTAGAGCAAATGTGTAAATTATGGTATCCATTTAAAAAGGAACAAAATAGGCTGGGTGTGGTGGCTCATACCTGTAATCCCAGCACTTTGGGAGGCCGAGGTGGGTGGATGGCTTGAACCCCAGGGGCAGAGGTTGCAGTGAGTTGAGACTGCACCACTGCACTCCAGCCTGGGCGACAGAGTGAGACTCCGTCTCAAAAACAAACAAACAAACAAAAAACCTGAACTTTAGAAGCAGAACTTTGAAAAGAACAATAAATCAATATGCTGAGAAATAAGGGCCAGGCACAGTGGCTCATGCTTGTAATCCCAGCAGTGTGGAAGGCTGAGGCGGGTGGATCACTTGAGGTCAGGAGTTTGAGACCGACCTAACCAACATAGTGAAACCCTGTCTCTACTAAAAATACAAAAATTTAGCCGGGCAAGATGGTGGGTGCCTGTAATCCCAGCTACTCAGGAGACTGGAGGCAGGAGAATCACTTGAACCTGGGAGGCAGAGGTTGCAATGAGCCAAGATCATGCCACTGCACTTCAGCCTGGGCGACAGAGCGAGACCCCATCTCAAAAGAAAAAAAGAAATTAGCTTGGTGTTGTGGTGGGTGCCTGTAACCCAGCTACTCGGGAGTCTGAGGCACGAGAATCACTTGACCCCAAGAGGAGGAGGTTGTAGTGAGCTGAGATTGCGCCACTGCACTCCAGCCTGAGCGACAAAGCAAGATTCTGTCTCAAAAAAAAGCTGAAAAATGTAAAACAAGTCCAATCACAATGCTCTTAGTAAAAATATTATTATAAACAATATTAACATTTTATGTTTATAATATATTAAATACTATTAATCATGTCACAAATATTACTAATGCTGGAAATTTTAGTGACAACAAAAATTAATATATTAAACAGACTAAAATTAAAAATAGTTAAAAAATATATAGAATCTGTAAGTCCTATACTGGGCAGAGGTGCTTACATTCTTTTACTGATACGAATATGCCTTCAAAAACTTTTTTTGTTTGTTTGTTTTAAAAAAGGAATATACTGTCAAAAAAGTTTGGAGGCCACTGGCTTAAACTACTACATTGTAATACAGAACACCACTGTGAACTGCCAATAGGGAACTACAGTGCATAGCATTTCTCAAACTCATCTGGCCACGAGTCATTTGGAGGCATGAAAGTTCCAAGAAACTGTCTTTGGACCATGCTGTATGGTGGATAAGAGCATGAATCTGGAGTCAGACAAAGCTGACTTCAGCTGACTACCAGACTCATACTAGCTAGGCGACCTGAGCATTTTACTAAATCTTTTTGAACTCTGTTCCTTATCTGTAAAATGGGGATAGTAATATCTACCTCGCATGGCTGTATGGACTTTAAAAACAATATCGTATATAAGTGCATAGTATAATGCCTGGTGTCTTGTAAGCACCCCTTAAAAGGAAGTTTCTATTATTCTATCATCTCTGATAGTTATTTAGAGACCTGATGTATCTTTCATAACTACACTTCTTCAGAGCAGAAATTGAATCTTCTCTTATGAGTCCCATGGAACACTTAGCTGCACTAGGTATGCGAGAATGAAGAAATGAATGATATTAATAGAAGCAGAGTTCTCTGAAAGATTGAGAGACTATATCACCAAAGACTGAAGGACAAATGTTTCTTTCTCAGCTGTTTATGACTTACCTTTTTAATGGCTACACCAGAACATTCACATAGGATGAATCCTCATAGTAATTTTCCCTACCTAGGCAGTTGATAACAAATTAGCCTGTAACTGTTTCCAGCTGCTCCCCTTTGATTAATCAATCAAAACAAATTTATAATGGTTCTCCTGTGGTTTGATACTGCTAGGAGCCTAGCATGCCTGAGATGAAGACAAGATGACTACGTGCGCTTAAAAGTCCAGGAAATAGGCTGGGCACGATGGCTCACGCCTGTAATCCCAGCACTTTGGGAGGCTGAGGCGGGCGGATCACCTGAGGTCAGGAGTTCCAGACCAGCTTGGCCAACATGGTGAAACCCTGTCTCTACCACAAATACAAAAATTAGCCAGGCATGGCGGTGGGTGCATGTAATCTCAGCTACTCGGGAGGTTGAGGCATGAGGACTGCTTGAACCTGGAAGGCGGAAGTTGTGGTGAGCCAGGATCATGCCACTGTACTCCAGCCTGGGCAACAGAGCAAGGCTCTGTCTCAAAAAAAAAAAAAAAAAAAAAAAAAAGTCAGGGGAATAAGGACTGGAGTGGCCAAAGCAAGTTCAGCACTGGAGGATTAGGTGGGCTTTAAAGGAGAGACAGTGACTCATGCTTATAATCCCAGCACTTTGGGAAGCTGAGGTAGATGGATCACTTGAGGCCAGGAGTTTGAGACCAGCCTGGCCAACATGACAAAATACACAAATTAGTAGGGCATGGTGGTACATGCCTGTAATCCCAGGTACTCGGGAGGCTGAGGCACGAGAAACACTTGAACCCAGGAGGCAGAGGCTGTAGTATGCTGAGATTGTGCCACTCTACTCCAGCTTAGGCAACAGAGCAAAACTCTGCCTCAAGAAAGAAAAAAAAAAAGGACAGACAAAAGAAAAGTTATTTCAGACCCAGGTAAAAAGAGCAAAGGCATGATGGTGTCAATTTCTAGCTCTCATTTCCTTTTGTGCCCCTTCCTCTGGAATGTTCCTCTTACAAAGTTCTGTTATAGTAGTACTAATGATACTACTACCACTTACGATAATTACATAGGTACTTAACAAATAATCCAAATAAGTCCTAGGCATCACTTGGCCCAGTTTTGGAGTAGTATAACATTCAGAGGAAGAACCTAGCAACCAAAAATTCCTATGTATATTTTCCTAATTACAACCCATAGTAACACTTCTGAAAATCACCTCTTTCTATACCTCTAGGTTCCATTCAGCAGCTGCTTAAAGCTCCTCTTTCTTTACATTTCTCAGTATCTGCCGGGGTCAGTTAGGGTTGCATTCAGCTGCATGGAACTGAAACCTGGATGCACATGCTTCACAAAACAGAGGTTTTATTTTTCTTCTGTAACCAGAACTCTGGAGGCAGGTAGTTCAGGGCAGGTACAGCTGCTTGAAGAAGTATCAGGGACCCAAATTTCCTTTAGCTTCCATCTTTTGCAAAATAGCTGCTTCACTTCCAGGCTTTGATCTATGTTCTCAGCAGGAAAAAGAATGAAGAGTAAATGACAAAAGATCCGTGCTGTTGCTGGCAGATTGGGCATTTGGTGGCATCAGCAGCTGGATCAGCCTTATTGAGTGGGAGCCCTGCTACTCTGTATTTGCATCCTTTTCTTTGATGTTCCCCCAGGGGATGCCAGTTTTTAAAAATGTAGACTGTTGGCTGGGTGAGAGGGGTACCATTTTAGAAGTTTCCCCAGATATGGCCTTGGCCTTCCCCACTATGACTGCTCTTGCTCCACAGGCCTAGGAACTACTATAGAAGTTCTGCCAACCACCAAGTGTGCCCATGCTAAGTACCCATTCAGAGAGGACAAGGACTCATCACTATATACCCTTGCTGGGAATCCAGTCTTCCTCAGTCATTAGGTTCTGGAAATTGGCTCAGGTTGAGAAACAGGGCAAGGGATTGACTCTTGGGGCAGCTCCTCTCAGCCGCCTCCTTATCTGTCCTTGTGTTTTAAAAACTACACCTTGAGGCACACAGTATCCTACTAACTACCTTCATAGCTCCCTGGGGGTCAGGCCTCCTTGGATGCCATTCTGTCTTGCCACTCCTAACAATGCCACTTAATCTTCTGCTGGTTATGCACTGCCACCTGGTCTCTAGCAGGCCCATTGCTCTCAGGGATCCTAGCCCCTGAAACATCTTCCACCATAAACCCTGGTCTACAGATAAAAGCGGCTATTGGACTTCTCAGCGATGCTTGTGTCCCTCTCAGTAGCACATTCCTTATTGCTTGTGATAAACAGCAGAACACGGCTGACAGGATAGCACGCAAATAATATATCATTCCCACTTCCAAGTCTTTTGCTCCCTTCTTCTTCTTCCATTGTTTGCCAGGACAGCTCTGGCCTTTCTATTTTGCTTAGTGTGGGCCATTGCTTTCTCCAAGCTTTCTAGAGCCATCCTAGCAATCTGTTAGCTTTATCTCCTGGAGTCCTTGCCAGAATGTAAATACATTTACATTGCTTATATCCATACACTCTGCTTTATTTGGCATTATTTTCTCCTCCCTCCCCATTTCAGCACACTGGGGACCCCTTCCCCATTTCTCCCACCTTCTGCAGATGTATATATAAGTTGGGCAGGTTTTTTTTGAGACGGAGTCTTGCTCTGTCACCCAGGCTGGAGTGCAGTGGTCTGATCTAGACTCACTGCAAGCTCCACCTCCTGGGTTCATGCCATTCTTCTGCCTCAGCCTCCAGAGTAGCTGGGACTACAGGCGCGTGCCAACACACCCCGGTAAATTTTTTTTTTTTTTGATATTTTTAGTAGAGATGGGGTTTCACCATGTTAGCCAGGATGGTCTCGATCTCCTGACCTCGTGATCCACCCGCCTTGGCCTCCCAAAGTGCTGGGATTACAGGTGTGAGCCACTGCGCCCAGCCTAAGTTAGGTAGGTTTTTTAGCTCCTTCAGGATATAGTGCCTCTCCTCCCTTAGCAGGTCTAGCATTTTCTTAATGGGGTTATGTGTGACTTGACCTTAGTTACTGGTCTGTTAGACAGGTGGAAAAGTGCAGGTAGATCCTGAGGAGAGTGTGTGTTGCCTTGCAAGGTAGATAATACTTCTTGATCTTCAAGCAAGGGGGTTGGGGTGCTAGTTTCTATAGGGAGGAGTGGGACACTTCTACAAACCCATAGCACTCAAGGCGACGTGGGTTTTGAGGTTCTCAAGTGCATTGACCCAGATGCCCCATCTAAAGTGTCAGGGTCCCACTTCTCAACTATGCCCCTGACCTTGGTATAGTAGACTCACTAGGGCTGAAAACCTTTTCAGAGTTCTGCTGCTCTTATAATTAAATCTTGAGCTTGATTTTCTGCTTTTTCTGCCTTATGCTGCTCCTACTTCCTTTATATGCTGCTAAGGAGGCACTCTGGCTTTCTTCCTTAGCCTTTAATTGGTGATTAATCATCCTCAACCTTTCATTGTCTTTCTCCAAAGCACAGGTTTACTCCATCAGTAGCTATCCAATTTCATTGTTCTTCAACTACTATTTGTCCCATATTGTTAAAATGCCTGATAGATTGCACCTATGAGTGCATTGTTCCACTGATGTTACATCCCACCCATTCCAGCTCTTCACCATTGCTGAAAGTTTTAACATTCTACTGCTATGGCAAGCCGGGGCCTGTCTGGGTTTCTCCTGGGGACCTTACTGCTAACTGGCCAGGGAGATGTTTCAGCTCCACTGGATCAGACCACATTCATGGGACATTTTTGTCTGTTTGTTTTGAGACAGGGTCTTGCTCTGTCACCCAGCCTGGAGTGCAGTGGTACAAACACGGCTCACTGCAGCCTCTACCTCCTGGGATCAAGCAATCCTCCAGCCTCAGCCTCCTGAGTAGCTGAGCTGAGACGACAGCTGCTCAATGCCATGTCTGGCTAATTTTTTTATTTTTTGTAAATATGTGGTTTTACCATGTTGGTCAGGCTGGTCTCAAACTCTTGGGCTCAAGCGATCCACCTGCCTCAGCTCCCAAAGTGCTGGGATTACAGGCCTGAGCCATGGTGTCCAGCCACACTCATGGGACTCAATTGCCCTTGGAATCAACTCTGTGCAGGAGAGAAAGGAGTAGGATTGAGCAGAAAGAGAAGTTGGACTAAATGTAGTCACAGTAAATGCCTCAGCTTCCAGATCCTAAGGGAGCTCTGGAGCAAGGAGAGCCCTTCAGAGCAGCCCCACCCTAAGCCCTGCATCTGCCAGCCAGTGCAGACGGACCTGGTGAGAGGCAGCTTTCTTCAGCTGAGGGCAACTCCTGGAAAGGGATTTAACTGATAGCTGTTGGCAAGTAATGCGCCCAGCAGCTGAAGAAATGAGCACCTTAGTCCTAAAGAGTGGTGTGCTCCTTGGTATGCTGTGATGGTTGGTTGTGCCAGTGGAGATGGGGGCGGTGGGTAGAATAAAGGGAATGCTACTGTAAAAGCTATTTATTTATTTATTTATTTAATAAGACAAGGTCTAACTCTGATGCCCAGGCTGGAGTGCTGGAATGCAACGGCACCATCACAGCCCACTGTAGCCTTGACCTCCTGGGCTCAAACGATCCTCCCACCTCAGCCTCCCAAGTAACTGGAACCACAGGCACATGCCACCATGTCCAGCTAATTTTTAAAAACCATTTTTGTAGAGATGAGGTTTCGCCATGTTGCCCAGGGTGGTCTTGAACCCCTGGGCTCAACTGATCCACCCACCTTGGCCTCCCAAAGCACTGGGATGACAGCATGAGCCACGGCTCCCAGCTTGGAACAAGACTCTTGAAGAAAATATTGGCAGAGCTTGTTGCCTGACCAAAAAACAGAGGCTGAATGAGAGAGATGCATTTAAAACAATATGAAACACTAAGGGTTCCCTGAATACTGTTGGACACTGCAAAATGGGGGAAGTTAGGATACAAATCTAATTCTGTTCTACTCTAAGGCTCATGCCTTTTCACTAGACTAGAGCTGGTCAAACTGGTGTTCCATGGGCTAAATTCAGACAGCAGACGTATTTTGTTTGGCTGCACAGCACTTAAAAAATGTAAATTGGCTGCCACTATGTAAAAATTGGAAGAGTTTATATGTAAGTTCAGATCTCTAGCTTCTCTTGAGTAACTAGAAGATCTAGCAACACTGGGTCAACATTCCTGCATGGCAGTAACTGGAGTTGAGTGACAGATACTCCTTAAATGGAGAGAGTATCTCTTATCTGGATAAATAGAGGTGGGCATATGCTCCTTAGTTCACCACAGTCTCCATGCATTACCTTCTTTGGCTTTTTTTTTTTTTTTTCTTTTTTGAGATGGAGTCACTCTGATGCCCAGGCTGGAGTGCAGTGGCACAATCTCAGCTCACTGAAACCTTGGCCTCCTGGGTTCAAGCAATTCTCCTGCCTCAGCCACCCTAGTAAGTAGTTGGGATTACAGCTATGTGCCACCACGCCTGGCTATTTTGTGTGTGTGTGTGTGTTTTTTTTTTTTTAGTAGAGATGGAGTTTCACCATGTTGGCCAGGCTGGTCAAACTCCTGACCTTAGGTGATTTGCCTGCCTTGTCCTCCCAAAGTGCTGGGATTACAAGCGTGAGCCACAGCACCCAGTCTTCTTTGGCATTTTTGTTTAGAATTCCTGCCATACATACTATGTATGATCTAACAAAGTACATAATGTATAACAGGTATTTGGATACTTTTATTTTTATTTATTTTTTAGAGACAGGGTCTTGCTCCATTGCCTAGGCTGGAGTACAGTGGCAAGATCACAGCTCACTGCAGCCTCGACCTCTCAAGCTCAAGTGATCCTCCCATCTCAGCCTCCCAAGTTGCTGGGACCACAGATGCACACCACTATGCCTAACTAATTTAAACAATTTTTCTTTGGTAGAGGCTGGGGTCTCACTATGTTGCCCAGGCTGGTCTTGAACTTCTGGGCTCAAGCAATCCTCCCACCTTGGCCTCTAAAAGTGCTGGGATTATAGGCGTGGGCCACCATGACTGGCCCATTTGGACACTTGATACTGGCTCAGCAGAACTGAATGAATTTAATTGGAGAGGAAGTTGGGGTGAAGTCTAGGCCTCTGACTGTAATGAGAGGCTTGGCACTCAGGGGAAGCAACAGAACAGGGAGTACAAATTAGGATGAATTAACGACATGCTGGCAGGAGCTTGAGTAAAGGAAGAAGAGCAGAGGGCCAGCAGAAGTTTGGGTGTCTTAGCACAGAGCTAAAGAAGAGTGGGCAATGGTGGAAGAAACTAGAGAAGAGGAAAGAAAGGCACAGAGGAACTTCAGCAATGGAATGCCAGGGAAGGCAAGGGAGCTGAAGGTTTGGGCAGTTGCATCCAATGTAGGGAAGAAGATCAGGGAGATAGACAGGCAAAAAGCCATGGCAACAAGGAAGTACTTAGGGACTTTCAGAGTAAGTACGAGAAAAGAAGAGGAAGGTTGTGGGTCTGAAGTTTAGCAGTGCAGTAGGGGCACTGGAATACTATCGTGGGGGTATGAGTGAGTGCTTTTTCAGGGGTCCTACTTGGGAGAAACATAGACATTCGTTTAATATTCATCCATTTCTTTCCAGCATTGTCATCATTCTGACAACATCTAAAAGAAATTAGTATCTGCATTGCATCCTTAAAAGAAGAAGGGACCAAAGACATGTCCAAACTGTCTTTTTGTTCTAGTGGAATAAAACATTTATTTAACATGTATTTTGGACAACCACCAACTGAGAGATTAGAAACTTTTCTCAAGGATGTATCTCTCTGTACGTGGGTTATTGACTTTGTGGATTTTCTGTAGTAAAATTAAAATTCTAGTTTTGTCCTCCCTTATCACCCAATGTCTTTCTGTGTGGCCTAACTGGCTGATTAGCGTGTGCTTGGAATGTGTAAATTCATTTTAACATTAGCCTAGGGGCCTGTGTGGTAGCTCACCCCTGTCATCCCAGGACTTTGGGAGGCCGAGGCAGAGGGATCACTTGACGCCAGGAGTTCCAGACCAGCCTGGGCAACATAGCAAGACTCTGTCTCTTCCACAAAAAAAAAAAAAAAAAAAAAAAATTAGCCAAAGCAGGGTGGCACTCACCTGTAGTCCCAGCTATTCAGGAGTTTGAGGTGGGAGGATCACTTCAGCCCAGGAGTCTGGGCTGATTGAGCCACTGCACTCCAATGCAGAGTGAGACCTTGTCTCTGAAAAACAAAAACATTCGCCTAGGTAAAATGTATCTAGGAAGACAAATTTTAAAATTACTCATTCCAGGCCAGGCGCAGTGGCTCACACCTGTAATCCTAGTACTTTGGGAGGCTGAGGTGGGCGGATCACAAGGTCAGGAGTTCAAGACCAGCCTGACCAATACGGTGAAACCCCGTCTCTACTAAAAATACAAAAATTAGCCAGGCGCGGTGGCGAGTGCCTGTAGTCCCAGCTACTAGGGTGGCTGAGGCAGAAGAATCACTTGAACCCGGGAGGCGGAGGTTGCAGTGAGCTGAGTGCACCTCTGCACTCCAGCCTGGGTGACAGGGTGAGACTCTGTCTTTAAAAAAAAAAAAATTACTCATTCCAAAGTCCAATGTCAGACATAGATTATCCGTTGTTTTGGATGTAATCCTCTTCCTGGAAAACTGGCACAACCAATTACACATGAAATCCTTTCAACTCTGGTATTGGAGGTATAGAGAAGGACTTTGTTTTAGGAGAGCCATAGTCTGCCTCTATTGTCCTTGGAGTTAAACCACCTAGGTTTACATCCTGACTCTGCCACCTGTCAACTCTGTGACCCTGGGCAAATCAAGGGTCTGAGGAGTGCAGGCTCCCAGCATTCCCACGGGGGTGGGGAACGTGACCTATTCATCAGATGAGGATAATGATATGTATTGAAAAGATTTGTTGAAATATTTAAAGAAGACGATGAATATATTGAATTAATAATGAAAGCGAGGCTCTAAAGGTGTTTTGAGGGTGGTGAAACTTGAATCTATTATCAGCTGTGCAAAAGTTATATTAACTTTGGTGGCTATGAGTTTTGCAGAGGAAACCTGGGCTTAAATCCCAATGCTAGACCCGGTGGCTAGACCTTGATTGCCACTGGGTCTAGCATTGGGATTTAAGCGACCTCTAAAAAAAAAAAATCACGGACTCTCTCTTTGGCCTTCCTTTTTTGTTTCTCAGCAGTCTACAAAGCTAAGAAGAACCTGAAAATCGGAGGGGGTGTACTTTATTTTTTCTGAGAACTTAAGGCTGAGAGCACAGCCTCCCCAGGAGATTAGCGGCAGAGATCCGCGCGCCCGGAGAATGGCTAGCCCCAGGGCGCCCTAACTTCCAACTCCGGGAACAATCCAAACCCAGAGGCCGGCGGGGGAGGGGACAGCCCTAGGGGGCGGTGGGGATGGGAGCGGATGCTCCGGGGTCAGCTCTGGCACTCGCCGGCTGAGCCCAGTGCCAGTCTAGGTGAGCCCCACGGCGGTGAGGGACGCTCGCCAGGCGGCCCAGAGGAGTTAGATGACGTCACCTCCAGGAGGACTCGCTTTTTCATTAATGAAACCGGCCGGCGCGGGCGCATGCGCGGCAGGCCCCCTTCCCTCTCGCTTCCCCCTCCCCTTTCCCAGCCGCGCTCTCAATCTCTAGCTCGCTCGCGCTCCCTCTCCCCGGGCTGTGGAAAGGATCCCACTTCCGGTGGGGTGTCATGGCGGCGTCTCGGACTGTGATGGCTGTGGGGAGACGGCGCTAGTGGGGAAAGCGACCAAGAGGCCCCCTCCCCTCCCCGGGTCCCCTTCCCCTATCCCCCTTCCCCCAGCCTCCGTGCCAACGCCCCCTTTCCCTCTCCCCCTCCCGCTCGGCGCTGACCCCCCATCCCCACCCCCGTGGGAACGCTGGGAGCCTGCACTCCTCAGACCCTCTCCTCGCCTCTTCCCTCACCTCAGCCTCCGCTCCCCGCCCTCTTCCCGGCCCAGGGCGCCGGCCCACCCTTCCCTCCGCCGCCCCCCGGCCGCGGGGAGGACATGGCCGCGCACAGGCCGGTGGAATGGGTCCAGGCCGTGGTCAGCCGCTTCGACGAGCAGGTAACGGGCCCGTGGCGGGCGGGAGGTGGGAGCGGAGTGGGGGTGGGGACAGAGTGGGTGAGGGGAGGTAGGAGCGGCCGCCTCCCCCGCGGCTGCCTCTGGCTCTGGAGGAAAGGAAGGGAAGAGAAGGGAAGGGGGGATAAGTGGGGGTGGCCAAGGCGGGAGGTGAGGGGTAGGAGGGGACAGCTGGGAGCTTGGGCTCCCTTTCCCTCCTAAGTCGGGGGGTGGGGCCTTGTCCCTGACCAGCCTCCGACCCTCCGTACCCTTTATCCCAGCCCTTCCGCTTGGGAATGGGGATGAGTGACCTGGGGGCCCCTTTAGGGGCGCGCCATCTGGATTTAATAATTACCCCCTTACTTTTGTTTTTGAGCAGAGGTGGGTAACGTTTAGGGGTTCTCTCTTCCTCTTCCCTCCGTGAACCTCCTAACTGGGGACGAGCGAACCCTAAGGCCTGTCTTATGTACCCACAATAGGAGAACGATAACATTCCGCCCCTCCCCCAGTTTCTTCAGCTTCCTCTCCTGGAGGGGGAAGAACAGAAGAAAGCAAGGAAGGCACAGGTTTTCTTACTTTCTGCTCCATCGTCTCATCCTGCCCCGAGAGCTTCAAGTGCACACTCACTGCACATCTTTGTGGTGCCCCAAAACGTCGTCCCCCATATCCTGATGACACAGACTGCCTTTTTTTTTTTTTATTGCCGTTTGCAGTGGAAACCGTGTTTCTGAAATATCTTCCCCTTCCTTGATAATTGTAGTCTCTCCCCCCGCCCTTTTTTTTTTTTTTTTTTTTTTTGCCAGCGGTCTGAGGATGTGATGTATTCTCGAGTGAGGATGTTGGGGAGTAAGGGGAGAAGGGTGAAAGGAAAGTGAGAAACTGCTTCTGAGCCACCAACAACACACAGCAAAGCCAGCTGGGATATGGTCCTGGAGCAGATCATTCTGCTAGTGTTTGTGGTTGTTTTTGACTCTCTCCTCCTGGTTGACAAGAGAACTTTCATTGAGAATATTTGGGATGAAAAAAAAAAGTTTTGTAGCTTGAGGAGGTGACTTTTTATCGCCTGAGTTTCACACAATAAATCCTGGGGCTGATTAGAATGAATGCACGCAGCATAGCCTTTTGTCATTGGAAATTAGTTTAACTTTGTGTTGCTGTAGGTAGTTGGGGATGGTTTAAGGGATACTTTCTGCAGCTGTGGTTGCAATGGGCTTCCTGTGATGGGGGAATTGTTTAAGATTGAGTCAATCTATTTTGTTTACTGGATATAATGGTAAAACATTGTGGGAGTTGAAGGGGTGGGGGAAGAGCTCTTCCCTTATTTGATCCATAAACATTTCTTTACGGCACTCAAAGTGTTTCAGACCTACCTGGAAAATATCTGGGAATAGGCAGAGGAAGTTGAGAAGAAGCTATGTAGATAAAATAGAATTATGAAGCTGTCAGAGACTTGAAGGAATTGTTTTATCCATTCGTATGCTTCCAGACCCAAAGGCATATAAACCAAACTATACTAATCCATCTGTGGTTTAATGTTACTGCATATAAAATATTGCATTATTGATAGAGTGTTAGATTTAAAACTTGGTAGAAAAGACTCTGTAATTTTAAGAAAGGATTTAAAAGGCACATAGAAGAACCCCAAAGCTGACCCTTGCGGACAGCAGAATCTGGATGTAGGAGTTTGAAGGATTCATGCCGCAATTCTCCTTAAATTTTAAAAATTAAAAATTTTTTTCAGTTTTTTCTTAATTTTGTTTTTTTACTTCTTACCTGTTCATCTCTAGGCTTATTTACCATATTGGAAAAAGATATTTTAAAGAGGAACGATTTTGGACTGGGCACGGTGGCTCACGCCTGTAATTCCAGCACTTTGGGAGGCCAAGGCAGGTTGATCACCTGAGGTCAGGAGTTCGAGACTAGCCTGACTAACAGTGAAACCTCGTCTCTACTACAAAAATTAGCCTGGTGTGGTTGCGGGGACCTGTAATCCCAGCTACTCAGGAGGCTGAGGCAGGAGAATCACTTGAACCCAGGAGATGGAGGTTGCAGTGAGCCGAGATCATGCCACTGCACTCTAGCCTGGGCAACAGAGGAAGACTCTTGTCTCAAAAAAAAAAAAAAAAAAAAAAAAAAAAAGGAGTGATTTTGATTATATGCCCATTAATGCAAGAAAGTGTTTTTCCTTCTGTCCCTAGTGTTAAAAGACCTTAAGGCTTCGTTGTTATGCATATTGTGGAATCAAACTCACCACCATCTGTTAAAAATTAAGGACATAAGTTTTTAAAACAGCATTTTTCTGCATTCCTTATGTTGTAATTAAGAGAAAGCTATATAGCAGAGATTATTCCTCACTTTTTTTTTTTTTTTTTTAATTGAGACAAGGTCTCACTCTTTTGCCCAGGCTGGAGTGCAGTAGCTTGATGTCAGTTCACCCTTCCTTCCCGCATTCAAGTGATTCTCCTGCTTCAATCTCCCAAGTAGCTGGGATTACAGGTGTGCACCATCATGCCCGGCTAATTTTTGTATTTTTAGTAGAGACGGGCTTTCACCATATTGGTCAGGCTGATCTCGAACTCCTGACCTCAGGTGATCTGCCCGCCTTGGCCTCTTGAAGTGCTGGGATTATAGGCGTGAGCCACTGTGCCTGGCCTGTTCCTCACGTTTTTCTCTTAGAAAGTTAGTCTCTGACCTTGAGATGCAAAAATGTAAGGGTTTTCAGTGTTTAACATAAGGTACTTACATATATTAATTTATTATAGAAGTGATAAATATTGAATTCATATTAGAGTTCATCTTAAGGTTGAAAATGTCCTTTAGTCAGAAAACTGAGGCATAGGGAGGTTAAGCGACATAAATGTATTAACAAGAGCTTCAGTATGAAAAGTAGTGAATGCTTGACCATCAGGGAGATACTTTTCCTAAGTATCCCACAGAATTTGTTCTAATCCATTAAATATACTTAGAAGAGTTTTTTTTTTTTAATTTTTGAGACAGAGTTTCATGCTTCTTGCCCAGGCTGGAGTGCAATCATGCGACCTTGGCTTACTGCAACCTCTGCCTCCTGGGTTCAAATGATTCTCCTGCCTCAGACAAGTGGCTGGGATTACAGGCGCTGGCCACTACTCCTGGATAATACTTGTATTTTTAGTAGAGTTATGAGATTACAGGCGTGAGCCATCGCTTACATTTTTATTGAGGGGAGAAAAAGCCCTGCATGTACTGAGAGATATTTGTATAAGAATCTTAATAGTTGGCCGGGCGCGGTGGCTCACACCTGTAATCTCAGCACTTTGGGAGGCCAAGGTGGGCGGATCACGAGGTCAGGAGATTGAGACCATCCTGGCTAACACAGTGAAACCCCGTCTCTCCTAAAAATACAAAAATTATCTGGGCGTGGTGGCGGGCGCCTGTAGTCCTAGCTACTTGGGAGGCTGAGGCAGGAGAATGGCCTGAACCCGGGAGGTGGAGCTTGCAGTGGACTGAGATGGCACCACTGCACTCCAGCCTGGGCGACAGAGCGAGACTCCGTCTCAAAAAAAAACAACAAAAAAGAATCTTAATAGTTTCAACTGTTAATAAAACTTTTGAATTTTGGATTATGTTATCTGTACTTTGCTCTGCTGGGACTAGGGGAAGTTAAGCTTTTCCTTCTTATTACAGCTAAGAGTTTGCATGTTGGACCACTTACGCCCCCAGGGAGCATGTGCGTGTCAGAAGATGGCAACTCTGTTTATGATTGCTGTTTTGGTTGGATTTCTAATATTTAGTGTGATTAAAGCAGAAATGCATTTCTAGCCACTGCTGATTACGGACATATTGCACTCTGATGGGTATTGCTTAGCAACTTAGTGCAGTAGACTCAGTTAAAAGAAGTGGATGTGTGCCATATTGACATTTTGAGCTCACATTCTTGTGGGTAATATAAAATTCCTTAACCTGATAATATTGCAGCTAAACCTAGTATTTAGGGTCTAACTTGAATGAGTATTACCAATTTTAGAAGTAATCACCTCTTTGGTTAGGGAAATGACAGTTGCAAAGGTGAACAGCCAGAAAGCTGAATGTTATCAGTTACATCTTATGTCTCTCCTTAACCTGCCTTTATGGTGTCAGATAGCAAGTTTCTAATTGAAACTGACAAATTGTATGTGTGTAGCTTTTTTTTTTTTTCCCCTTGAGATGGAGTTTTGCTTTTGTCTCCCAGGCCAGAGTGCAATGGCGAGTTCTCAGCTCACTGCAACCTCTGCCTCCCGGGTTCAAGCCATTCTCCTGCCTCAGCCTCCCGAGAAGCTGGGAGCTACCACACCTGGCTAATTTTTGTATTTTTAGCAGAGACGGAGTTTCACCATGTTGGTCAGGCTGGTCTCGAACTCCTGACTTAAGGTGATCTACCTGCCTTGGCCTCCCAAAGTGCTGGGATTACAGGTGTGAGCCACTGTGCCTGGCCAGGTGTGTAGCTTTTAATTGTGGTTCATTAACCCGGTTTCTAAGCAAATTAGAACCTTCTGTGTATCTCACCTAGTTCTGTATGCCCCACTGGTCCCTGTAGAGCTTTATTTCTGAAAGGAAATATGGGAAAACTATGGATATTTGAACTTGAAAAAGAAGTCCATCCCAAAATCATTTGTTGTAAATATGATTATTTAAAGCAATTATATTTTCCATATCTGATCAAGCAAAAGCAGTATATAAAAGCCAAAAAAAACCATTTAAATAATATGTTACAGAATAAACTCTGATTTTAGAGGTTATAATGGCATATCTGTTCTCATACATTGAGTGTTCATCTGAATGTACTTTGAATATGCGGTGAGAGGTTCACAGTATAAAATGATTGGCAAGTATCTTCGAAATTACAAACCACGTACTAATTAGACAAATAGATTTGCAAAACTTTGAAGCTTTTTGGATTTAAAAAATACCTCCTAGCTTCATTCTTCAAGCCTGGTCTGTAATTTTTATAAGGCCTTATAATAGTTGAAAATGAGTACTAATTTGTTTTG